AGAGTTATAAATACATTATGCTGTGTGTGATGGAATAAGAGCCCATGTAGAAAGATAAGAAGAGTGGAGGGGTCGTGACGCTGTGGCCCCTAGATGACACCGCACACCAACACTGAGCCTCAGCACGGACACTTACACAGGATGGAAATGACAAGTTGAACTTTGAAATGACAGATTCAAAATCAAACATTTTGGCAGTGAAGTTAAACCATTAGGCTCTTGACCTCTTTTAGTTGCAATCCATAAGAACTTTATTTAGCTCTACTTTATACAATCCCCCAAATGGTCGTTTGCAGTGAGGGGAGGCTTTCCTGGACCCCTCTGAAGCAGATTTGAAACATGCTGACTGGATTCTGCAAAAACTAATTCTCACAGAGTCTGAGGCTTTGCTATAGTTTAGTATAAGTGTTGACTCGCTCATAAAAACCTTGAATAATGTGCACATATGGTCAGGTGGTAGTGTGGCATTACAGCAGACAGGGCGCACTCAAAACGAGAAGGTTGGTAGCCCTGAGCTGATATGGCTCTGGGGGCTGGGAAAGCCGCTCAGGATAAGCCCAGATCAGTCTGGTCCTGGGACAACAGTCAGAAAACTAGGAGGGCAGACAGCAGACTGTTGCTAAAGCATGAAAAATAACAGGGATGATCAATATATCGGTATGAGCAGAGGCATGTGTGTATATATGTGTGAGGTGTATATATAGTGTGATATATATATATATATATATATATATATATATATATATATATATATATATCACACACATATATACACACACATATATACATATATAAACTTCAGACATTTTATCCTTTAACTGGACTTGTTACTGGTGAGAATGAGAAAATAAGAAAAACACCACAGAAATTTTGGATTTATGTAGCAGTTATGATAGGTTGTATTTCTAATGAATAAAGTAAGCACCATGTGGTAAATGATTCTTATACAGACCATTTAAACAGTCAGTCACTACCTTCAAACATGAGTGTTTACCTGATCATACTCCAGAGCTCCAGGATACAGGGGCCAGCCCAAAAACAGTTCAGCTATGACACAGCCCAGTGACCACATGTCTATGGCTTCACAAAAGGGTAATCCCAAAATCACCTCTGGAGCCCTAAAACAAAGACAGGAAGAAATAGGTTAGATATCTGAACCGGATTTAACAAAAAATATTAGCAATTCAATCATTTTCATTAGCTAACAAAATATAATCCATCTAATGTAATACTTTGGATGGAATTTGAGTGCTATGAAAGTCTACAGGTTTAAGAAGACTGCAGAAAGAAAATTAGGTGATTTGATTTCTTTGCTTTTTCTTTGTCTCTATTGTAACAGAGCACAGCATTCTATGAAATGTTATAGATGCTGCATGGGCAACTCAAACCAGAACCTATTTGTTTCAGTTCAGGTTTCACATTATGTACAACCTAAACATACGGCTATCTGAGTATCACAGGATTAAGTCTAAGGTATATTAACAGATATCGAGTACAAGAAACACTCAGTCATTATGGTTCAGTGACTGAGCTTTAGGTTAGCAGGTCAGCTATGCTCTAATAAAGAAGCTTCACAGGCTGAATGTCTGTGGGTCAAAGGATGAAGTGTAGTCACTGCTCTTAATACTCAGACAGCATGCTAGCTCAGGCACACACGAGATAATGATTATCCCACAATACTGTGTCACAGGTGCAAGCTGGTGATGATATAACAAACCCAGCATTAATAGGTTTCATAAATGCTAAATAAAAACATTTGAATTAAAAAAAAAAGGTAAGGTATGTATGTAATATTTAGATTTTTTTTAAATCATAAACATGAACTGTCTGTGTCCCTAGATATGAATTCAGATAAAACAGCTAAGTAAAAGGGCACACATGCTCTGAATACTAGGTACTTAAACCTGCAGCCACTCAGTATTAGTAATTAGTGCTTCAGGAAGAGACCCATAAAATAGCCATGTAAATGATCCAGGTCCCTCCCCCCTGGCAAAATAAAATTGACACAGGTAATACTGTCAAATGGTAAAATGTGTATAATCAGGTCTAATATTATTTATTCAAGATGTTAATGTTTTTTTGTCATTGCAGGCCTGTTTTCTGCTCTTGACCCCAGTGCTGTGCATCAGTAAACAGGAAACAGCTGTTGCTAACATGTGCTAGCTTTGTTTTGCTTAGTATGTCAGCTCAACATAAAAGTTTTTAGTCTGTACTGCTCGACTCCTTGGAAACAAGCTGTCAAAGTGCAGGTTTATGTCTTCAAAGTGTAGGTTTAGGCATTGCAGCATTGTAGCAACTTAGATTAAGGGGTGATTGTAAATTTAGTACCTTTTCTTAAAAACAGCAAGACCTTTAAGTCTTAGACCATGTACATTACACAACACAACCTGCACCAAAGCATTTTTTCTAATCATGTAATGCGTATAAATACACTGTGCATAGCAATAACAGCACCATTACAAGCACCTGCCAAAATAGCCTAGTACAGGCTGCAAAACAAATATATATTAGATCAAAAGTCAAACTGCTGGCAGCAGCAAAACCCTGGCATAAAGATATGTCAGCAATGCAACACTAGCCCTATTTATACTCATCGGGTTCTTACTGGAAAAGTCATCAACACTAACAGTGATGCAAGTACATGAGAATCTACAGTACTAGAAAAAGCCTAAATTCTTCCACTAGTGGAAGAATAAACCAGGACTAAATCAAGACTAAGTGTTGTAAAAACACTACACAAGAAAAAGAACACAAAACAACCATTCCATTAACATTTACACAAACTATGCCTATATGGAAGTCCAAACTCCAAACCAGATGCTTCCACTTCCACATGATGGGGAACGTTTGATTACAAAGACCCTATCTTATGATTGAAAATTGAAAAGAATTTAATAATGATTTGAATAAAATTGGATTAATTGCCCTTAGAAGTGAGAAAATAGAAAAGATGGCTCAGGACTGCCATAGCCATGGGAGGAGTGCCTCAAAATGAGTCAAGTTTCTCCCTCCAAAACCTGTACTCTCATCCAAAACCCATGCTTTTACAGACAGAGGATCGGCAGTGGGCCTCTTGATTAAAAACGCCAAAGCATATTCTTGACCATTAGAGATGACATTATCTCAATCTTGCTTAAAATTGCACAGGCCCATTCAAGCATGAAAAAACCCATAGTTCAATCTCTATAGAATGTCTGTGTCAAATATAAAGGCTCTTTATTCAGGATGGGAGTAAACAGGAATGACTTTCATCATGTGAGCACAAGCTTTGGATTCTTGTAATTTTGTCCACTGGGTACTTCATATAAAATGTTACACCGATCAATTTAATGAGAATATTGTCCCAGTTAGCTGTATACAATTCAGTGTGTAACATGATTTCATGAAGTTAATTGTAAGACAGCTGATGTTAAAGATAGATGACCTTGAATGAGCAAGTGAGAGCTCCAGTATTTCAAGCTGTCCCTCTCTCATTCTGGCTGCCTATGTGCTTCACCATCTATAGAAGTCAAGGCACACCGGCCAATGTCCCCACAGCTATTCTGGGCAACCTTTAACGTCAGCCTTGGCAGTGCTCAGCCACTGGCTCTGCATAGCCCTATCAGTATCTGTGTGAGTACCAACAAACTACTAATTATTCGAGATGAGGTGAATCATCAAAACAGTACCTTTCAACACAATCTTATAATTATCATTTCCACATTTGTAGTCAAAGTACTAAATGGTGAATGCCAATATTAGTATAAGAAGTCAGTTTGTGTTCCCACACCAAATTATATCAATGAGTCTCTCTGATGTTCTTTGTATCAAAATAACCTGACAGGACGGAGAGAGTTAAAACAGCTGCACTGATCACTTCCTCCTCTGCAGAGTAAAGCTCTGTGACTGATCTATTTTCAGCCACTTCCTGTTAAACAATCACACAATACTCTCCTTCAAATGATAGGGAAAAGCTCTAAATTCTTTTAGGTCATCTATGTAGACAAGTACTTGTAAACTACATGTTCACGACACTAACTAAGACAGCATCAACCAATTAATTTACTTAACAACTAAACCCTACTACACTGCTGCCTAAGGTCAGATCAGAGTTATAATAATTGACATTCCATCATTGTACATTCTATTAACAGGTTATAATAAAATAGGAGCTAGATATCTTGTTGGAGTTAATTTCAACTAGACAAAGCCATTACTATTCCACAAGAGGAACTCTTGATATGATACAATGTAAAATATGAAAATATATCATACATTTTCAAATGAAAAGTGTTCCTCTCAAAGCAGATGGTAAGTGTGTGTAGACTTCAGACAGTGATTCATTATAATTTTATTAAGTGATCATTATAACTGAGCTCTTCATGTTCATTGTCTAAGCTGTATATTTGGAATGTTTGTAGCATGTCTGTTGCATGTGTTTTAATGGCTACATACGTAAATAGTGGTAAATAGTTTTGACTGTACATTGTTTTAACATCTCTTTTTAGATTAACAATGCAACATCTGTGTGAGGACTACAGATTAGTCTTGTGGCCATAGACTCTGTGTGTATGTGTGTGTGTGTGTATAAGTGTATATGCGTATATGTGTATGTGTGTATAAATGACCTGCTGGCTGCTGCATTCCAAATAGGAACCTGATCCAAACATAATTTTGATTTCTTTATATATCTAGTACACGTGAATAAATTCACAATAAAAACTTTGAACTCTGGCTTCAACTCACTTCACCTCAGAAAAATTGCCCCCCTCCCTGTAACTGCTGCTGTCAGGTGCGTCATTTTGGCCTTAAAGCATTCATATTAATCCGCTCTACATCCTACTGTTTTTAATTTGCTATTTTCCATGAATCAAGATATGAACATAATTATTGACAGACAAATCAGGTACCTTCATTCCCCGAGGTCGCTGTTGTCAGCATTAACAACAGGTTTGAGTGACAATTGCAACCAGAGCTCAAAGGAACTACTTCGCTCCCAAGCTCAGTTCCCATTTGGGACGCTGCGGCTAACGCATTCGCTATGTCCGTTGGGTATATGACATGTTGCCTATTTTTGACCATAAATTACATAGTTTTAGAGGGACAGTGGGTTTAATTTCTTTTAAACACTAAAATGTCCTGTGGTGTTTTAGAAGAATTGTTTTGAGAACACTTTTCTTAAAAACAATTCTACATTGTGCCACTTGCGTCAGAGACAGTTAATATGGGTGATGGCATAAACGGGAGCACATTATTTAATCATTTTACACCTTTACCGCCACTTTAAATCTATAAAGGATAGAAACATTTAAATGTGGAAATACAAAGGTTGTCCTATGGTGTGACATAAAAAGTTACACATTTAAAGACACAAACATAACACAAAGGAGCTCATCTGTCCTTTATGCACCAGGCGAAGCTTTTGGGTTAAGGGTTTAAGAACAATTAAATAATTATAATTTGTATAATTATAATTTTGTAAAAAATACAACTTTTCTGAAAATCTTTGAATCTGTTTGATATCCTGTGGTGAGACAGCTGTATTTTCGAAGAAAAATTAAATTCTAATTGGATATTCCATAAGATGGGACAGTTATATAATTATTCAAGTAGCACTACAGACATGTTAAATAATTTCTTAGAATTTTTTTGACAACGGCAAATTTGTAGTGAATGTTCAGCAGTGTGACAGGAAAAGCCCAAGCAGGGCATGTTAAAATATCAAAAATTTTTAGAGTTACACAATAAATGATGTGATGTTTGTGAAAAGACTTCTTTACAATTGTTGTAGAACCGATTTGTTTTGGAAAATTTTTTTGGGACTTTGTCACAACCCCAAACATCAAGTAATCATTATATAATCTATGGAACTTCTTATTCTGAGCAGGCTTGCATCTCCAAAAACCTGATTCCTGAAAGATTTCCATGTAAATGTTATTTTGGCTATAATATTCCATAGTATGACTTAAAACTAATGAATGTTCCGAATTTTAAGTATGGTTTTAACTTTCTATTTCTATGAATTATGCATGTGATGTGCCACATTCAGAAAGTTACTAACTTACTGCTAACTAACTTACATGGTTACCATAGTTTCAGCCACATGCTAATGATATATTTTATAGGGGTAAGAGAGAGAGAGAGAAAGGGGTGGGGCGTGGGGGAGGAGGAGGGGAGGGCTATCTACTGATAAAAAGAAATTACTGTAAATTAACCTGAAATGTGTAACTGCTGACTGGAAAAACTTTATTATTCATAACTCAACATTACTGTGTTCTGTTAATATAAACAATATGGACCTGAAATTTTAATGCTCACACAGCATTATTAGTTACATGACAAGAAAAAAACAAAGCCAGTGATTGCTTACAAAGTCTAATGAAAATCTGCACTTTTGAGACATAAGAGACATTTTACTTTCCTTTTAGGTAATCATAAAGGATACACATTTAGTTTGCATTGCATTGCATTTTCATTGCCTGCATTTGACAGGCAATGAAACTTTAAAATGACACTTCAAAAGCACAGTAGAAAGAAGCAAATTCTATGACTTTTAATGTTTGACATGTGTGTTTACCTGTAGTAGCGGGACTGAAGGTACGTGGAGCACACTGCTTTGGACACATGACTGGCTGAGCCAAAGTCTATGACCTTTACCCTATAGGGCTGCCTGACTGGGTCCACCAGCATGATGTTTTCAGGCTTGAGATCTGCATGAATCAGCCCCATACTCTTGAGCTTTTTCAAAGCAGTTGCCACCTGCTGCAGTACAGGCCGGATCACCTTCAGTGGCAGCGGGCTGAACTTGTTCTGCTTGAGAAAGTCATAGAGATTCTGCTCGAGCATTTCAAACACAAGGCAGGTGTGGCTGCGGTGCTGGAAGCACTCAAAGGCCCGCACCAGGTTATGCTCGTCCGCATTCTCACCACTTAAACGAGCAAGGATGCCCACTTCAATCTGGCCCTGCCGTGCATATGAAGGGTGGTTCTTCAGTATCTTCACCGCCACTACATCCCCCGTGCCCCTTTTCCAGCACTTCACAACCTGCCCAAAAGTGCCCCGACCCAGAAAATCCAGCACTTCATAGGTATTCTTCATTGAGCACAGGACCTCATGTTGTACAACCTGATAGTCCCCATCTGCACCTGCAGCTCCCCCTGCAGCCCCCTGTTTGGAAGGCCCACCTGTGGCCCCCACACCCCCCGCACCCGCAGTCGCGCTCCCCACATTCGATTGCAACATAGCAGGCAGCATTGACAGTTCCTCCACGATCTGCATTGTGCTTGCCTGGGTTTCCAGCTCTCCACTTTTACGTTTGAGCCCACATCGGTGAGAGCTGTCGGCCAAGTTTAAACCTGCACAGTCCTCCTCCACTTCCTTCTCCGGACCTCCTCCTGCGCCCTGGCCCCGGCCCCGCCCCGCTGCCCCCACCGCTCCACTGCGCCCCCCACTTGCTGCGTCTGTCTGCTGCTGTTGCTCCTTGCCCTGCGTTTGGCAAACTCCTTCTCCTTTTCTTTTGCTGGACTGATGTCTGGGCACACCCCGCACCACTACTGTCTGGACTAGGTACTTTTGCCCCCCACGCACTTTAACGCCAAATGAAACGTCTGGGTTCACAAACAGCTGGGCTTGTTTGGTCGGGTGTACAATAGGAAGGGTTCTGCTGTTCAGATAAGTCCGTGGGTGTGCCCTCTCATGGTACACACAGCTGCTGGGCTCAACTTTGAGTTTCTTCACACTAAAGGCACTTGTCTGGGTTTGATAAACGTGTGGTGGGTAAACCAAGACTTGTGAGGCCATACCTGCAGAAACATAATAAAGAAACACTTCATCAGTTTAACCTGAAGTACAAACATCAAACAGGGTCTTTACACTATGTGGTGCTAGTGTCTCTTTGGGACAATTCCCGTAAAATACAATGGGAATTATTTTTACCTACTGGGCAAAATATAATTTACTAAACATTACAAAAGTTTCCTAAAATAAAAATAAAAATGACTAACTTCTCAACAGTTTGCCTGACCTTTTTCTGCCATTTCCATGCATCCTACTGCAGGTCTCTAAGCAACCATCACAAAGAGGACGCAAGTGAGAAAGAAAAAACAAGTCATCATGCTTCAAAGGAAGCACATGGTGATGGTCTGACCGTTCACAAAAGTAAATACATGAAGCTATTTTTGAACATGAGTATCAGTTCATTAGTCAAAGGTATTGCACTAACCTACCTTGTACAATAGGAGGAATAAGATTATCTCTGTGCAATGTAATAGAGATCTGTTTTAGTTAAGTAATTTAACTAAGCGAGTATTTATTTTCATATAATAGCTGTATGTCACAAATTTATTACAATTTTAAGTCAGTTATTTGCAAGGATTCATTACATAATAGTAATTTTTTAAGTTATTTTTTGATATGGTTTCTCACTCTTTTTCACATACACAAGCATACACATTTGACATGCACTCCACAACTTTTCCATTTATTATTTATTTATATAAACCCTTGGTGTTGCATTTTTGTATGAGAAGCGCTATATAAAAGGGAGTGAGAAACACAATTTCGATTCTTTCGTATAAAGAATTGACAATAAACTTTTTTGAATTTGAATTGAATACACTTGCAACATGTTCTTAATGGTTTGTTTGTCTGTAATCATGCAATGACATCATGCTCAAACCAATATTTAAGCTTCTATAATGTAGAACGTGTGACCAGCTGTCCCTGGTATGGGAATTATGGGGGTATGACATCACACAAAAACACATTCCTGAGTCTGACTGGCAACCAACAGCCACAACTGTCCTCAACTATAAGAGGAAAAAAGCATTTTTCACAAAGATTTGGCATATATTCTAGGGGTGGGTATTGACAAAAACATATAGATATAGTATTATCTCATTCTCATATTCAGACAATATAGTACAATCCATCATAAATGTGCTAAACGTGCCTGTAAAGGTCTTTAGTTTATGATTGATTTCGAATATACATTAACAAAAAGAGTGCAGATATAAGTAATTATTTTATTTCAAACGATTTCACAGCACGTTTGTTACACCTATATTGTTAAACAGCAGCAAACAAATAGTTCAGTGTTTTAAAATAGTTATTTGAATCATCTGAAACACTGCATGCCTTGCCTATGTTCTTGAGAAAAAAAAAAAAAAAAGAAGAAAGTTAGACCAAACAACTACTGCAAAAGCAATTACTGTTGAGCTTTGATGAAAGAAAACACTTAGAAACACAGGGAACTATGTTTTGGTTTGGCAAAATGTAGCCCAACCTTAACAGTGTCCCTGACAACATGAAGCCTTTACCACTGCATTACGTTCATACTTACATCGAAGCTAAGGCGATAATTGTTTGTGATTTTTTTTTAAAGTAATTGGTTGAAGGCTAAACTAAAAACATACAGCAAATACGGAAATCGTATTAGTTTTTATTCGCTAAGATCAAGTTTGTTACTGTTAGCCAAGTTGCAACTTAGTGCTACGTCACAACTTCAATGTAGTTTATTGATATGGGATCGACACAATCCAGTTTTAGACTTTGAACATTTGAGTTGAAAGCTTACCTTCACACAGAGTAACTATATATATAATCCAGGGCTTCTCTGAACATGCTATGGACTCACAAATCCACACCATGTACAGTTCGCCTGCATTGCTGCCATCTTGTCCGAGACGACAGGAAGGGAGAGCCCGCTCTCGTCAAAGCCACCATCTCCCACATTTTAAACATTAGGTTACTCCGTCATTTTTGCTCCAGATCGCACCATATCGAGCCCAGATTGTATTTACAGTGTTCACGCGAGTCTCGGTCCGTTTAGGGCAAAGTAGCCCATATTAAACTGGGTTGGCAATACCCCGTCTAGACGTGGACTCCGCGGCCCAGCCAGTTTCTAACATGTCTCTTTTCCTCTAGCAGAAACAGCGCGAGCGCAATGTTTGTGAACTGACGGCATAGACCAGGCCAAACAAATCAATAGCCGATGTAGAGAGTGAGAGAACATGGTTCTCAAACGTTTCGCACCAAACTAACAGGTTGCCAGATTCATGGCTTTCTACATAGACTGGACCTTATCTTGCCGCATTTTGCAAACCTGAAGCAGGAACAAGTCTGTTTACTGGAAAGAGATCATTAAAAAAGCAAAGATTAATCTGAACTAATCTGAATACATTTATAAATTAAAGATATAGCTTAGAATATTATTATTCCATATAAACAGTTTTTAAGTGTTGCTTATTTACTCTGACAAAGGGGGAATTATTTTTAATTTTACATAATGAATAATCAATAATGAATGCCAAAAACGATTTTCGTCTGCCTGGGATCCAGTTCATACACTTACTCTAATGCTATAGGAAGATGTGAGCCTGGTCATTGTTATTATTGCCCCCACTGATCAAAAGGCACTTATTACAGATTAAAATGACTTCTACGTGTTTGCTGAAATAAACCAGGCACTATTCTTCATGTCCAGTGTTGGGAGTAAGGCATTATAAAAGTAATGCATTACAGTAATGCGTTGATTTTTGCTGTAACGCAGTAATGTAAGGCATTACAGGGGAAAAAACTGTAATATTTTACTCGGTACAAATGTGAGTAACGCGCGTTACAGTGCTTTTTTAACCTGGATTGAAGTGGTGGGTTTTTCTTCAGAGAAATTCACTAAAATCAGCAGCGGTGAAACGCTGGAGACGCGGCCGGATAGACCTTCAGTTAACCGCGGGCGAAAGGACCGACCCAGAACTCTACGCTGTTTAGACCTGGTTTAGACCTGGGTCACTTCTGGTTTAGACCTGGTTTACAGTCGTCCCTCGCTCTAACGTGGTTCACTTTTCAAGGTCTCGCTGATTTTTTATTTTTTTTATTTATTTATTTATTTTTTTTGTAATTTTGCATGTCTTTTGTTTTTAGTGTATGAACACGTATTGCGTTCCTCCCGCTGCGTCCTGATCGGCTAAGGGACACCTGTCTCCTGCACAGTACAGTACAGAATGTGTTCAGCTGCCAAATTTAAATAAATGTTCAATCTGTAGCAGTGTGATTCTGAAGTGCTGTATGTCTGCAAGTTTTCTCTCCGACAAAATCCACAACGTCGACGAAATGTTCTGCACCGACAAAGGCTCCTGCCCTCGCACCCAAAAGACAGAGGAAGATGCAAACCATCACACAAAAAGTTGGACTTCTGGACACTTTGAAGGAAGGTAGAAGTTACACGCTGTAGCAGAGTCTTGCACCGGGTCTTGTACCCGCAAATAGTTGCTGAAATCAGGACCGTGAGCCCGCGCAGCAGGGTCCATAAAGCGCGATCAGGCGACAGCTGCTCTTACCTCCATGAGGTGCGGAGCAAAGCCGGTCCTTTCTCCTGCGGTCTCCTTCGAGCCCGTCCCGACAGTGAGTCCTGTTTAAGTCCTAGTTCAGTTCTGGTTTAGTCCTCCTCTTCAGTCCTGGAATCAGTCTGAGGTTAGTCCTGTTATAGTCCTGGTTTAGTCCTGGTTCAGCTCTGGTTTAGTCCTGGTTTAGACCTTGTTTAGTCCTGGTTCAGTCCATATACGGCTCAATAGTTCAGCTTTTTCGCAGTTATTTTGGTGAGAGTAACTTAGAGTAATGCAATAGTAATGTAATGCCTTACATTTTAAATACAGTAATATTGTAATGTGACGAATTACTTTTAAATGACAGTAATAAGAAATAAATAACACATTACAGTTTTAAAGTAACTTGGCCAACAGTGTTCATGTCATATTCGGCATGTTTCTGACTTTTGCAGAGCTGATCGACTGATCTTGTATCTTTTGTTTTAGTCTGTGTGGGTTTGAACGATGGTGCTTTGGATTGAAATAAATTTCCACCTCACTCTTCGGGGCAAAGACTTATGGAAGTATTCATACAGTCATGCAATATGCACAGGCCCTATGGCATATAAACCTGATATAAACTAGTAATTTATGTAAACTGCATACGCCCGTTTTATTTTGGAGGAATAAAACGGGAAGAGCGGAAGTCAGGTTTGACGCCATTTTGAAAATCAGTCACCATAGAAAAGCTTGTGCTACTTGTCTTTCGACCTAAAATACATACATAATCTGGCTTTTAGAAGCAATGCGGAAATTAAAATAGTTTCAAACAACTGTCAAAACACCGATATTTGAACGTTTATGTAATTTACTTTATTTTTCTAATCCTAGTTTACTCTTCCAGCTATGACCAGCGAAGCAGCAGCCGATCAGGTAGTTAACCTACACGTAGTACATTGCATGGTAAACTAACAATACAGGGGTTATTTTATATATATATATATATATAACACAAAATGCACCCAATTTAAAATGTTATCAATTACGTTTAATGTATTGGTTCCGTCTAGCTAATGGTACAGAGTAAACAAGGGGTAAATGCAAGGCCGCACCAGTAGCATGGCGATAGCATGGTAACAAATGAGGATGGTAAACGAACCGTACGCAGCGCAACCAAGGCATTGGCATGTTTTCTCTTACGTTTTTATTGTGCATTGTCATAAATGGTAAGATCTTGAATAATTACTTCGAAAGTGTACAATAAAGGTTAACTAAATCATTATTTTCATTGCCCATCATACAGGCACTTGTAGCAAAATAAAACACAAAACCATACTTTGATAAGATAATTACTGCTATATATTATCTGACGTAATTAATTAACTAATATGGTTGTGTTTATGTATCTAGTTAACATGTAAAATTTCCTATTCAATATAATGGGAAGCATATTTGCCGCTGTCAAACATGTTGTCCTTGTTTTTGTCTTGTAGGCTGCAGAGTATATTCCAGAGAAGGTGAAGAAGGCAGAAAAGAAGTTGGAAGAAAATCCATATGACCTTGACGCATGGAGCATTCTGATTCGAGAAGCACAGGTTTAGTGACACAGAGTTGCATTCCTGGGGTTCAGCATATTGGGGTTGATGGGTGGGTTGAAAAGAGGGTGGGGCATGTAGATTGTTTAAATAAGTAATAATATTTTATAGTAAACTTCATATTTATGGTATGTAAATGCACTTTCCTTTCATAGAATCAACCAATAGATAAAGCCCGGAAGACCTATGAGCGACTAGTCACCCAGTTTCCAAGTTCAGGCAGATTCTGGAAACTTTTCATAGAGGCTGAGGTTATTTTATTTATTTTTTTATTCTCCTTTTTTAAGTGTGCATGGCTGGGGTATGTCTTACATGATCAACAATGTGATTTTCACACAACCGAAATGTGTAATTTCTAGTTACTTTATCAGTTTTAAAGTCACAGTTCATGTGTTTGAAACAATTCATCAGTTCATCAAATATGTCAACAAAGTTTCACCCTTTAAGTGCATCTGTAGACATCACAATGTTGAATTTTTTGTAGCATATCTATTGTGGTTCATATAGAATTGTGGCTTTAAAATACCAACAGGAAATTGGCTTTGAACGATTTGGGTCTTTAATGCAGTCTTTTTCACATTACGTGGGGGATGGGGGGGGGTCATGTGCATTTGTTGCATGTTTGGTCTGCAACAGTATTAAAACAATTTTAATGGTATTGGAGTGCATTAGCCTTTTATTCACTTGTCGTCTCAATTTATTGCCTCCTGTGTCATTTCTTTTGGGTAAATATATTGTGTGGCCCACTTTTTATTTGGGACTTTTTTCCTCCCTCGTCCAGAACATGAAAAATAACACTGATCTAGACCTGCTAGGGCCTACAGAGCTTTCCTACATCCATACAGGTTATCAATTTCCACCTCTTTACAGTTAGCATTTTTCACAGTACATAATCCATTTACATCACATTTACTGCCCTCTATATTCACTGTGGAAGTACTGCAAAACCTACTTCACTGTTACATTCACTGGAGCAGTTTTTCATAAACAAATCTGAAGTCTCTAAAACATAAGTTTCATTGTTATCTGTAAGCTACTATTAGGGTTGGACAGCATTTGCAGGATTTCTTTACTATTTGATATTTATGGTATGTATCCATTTTCCTTTCTTAGAATCAAACAATAGATAAATATGTATTGTAATCTGTCAGCAGCCCTATTACGGATGAGCAGTATTGGTTGTAAATTATCTCTTTTATGAAGTTTCCCCAGTGAAGATAGTCAGATAATGTTATGCCAGAAATGTGCCAACACATGTATTAAAATATAGTGGGGTGAGGTTTAAGTATCAGTATAAAAAAAAAAACAAAGTGCACAAATATCACTTTATATCCTTATTTTTAACTTTTTTTTTTTTAGTTTTGTTTTTAAATTGACTTTTTTCAGCATTTGTATGATAAACTGTATACTGATTTTCTGCTTTAATTTTGCATATCTTCAAAACAATTATGTCAATATTTTCACCCACCTCTTAATTCATATATAACAATATGCATTAAGTCAGGTCAATGTCCTTTGGTTTGTTGTAAATGTTTTAAGGAAAATTTAAGAACAAAACATTCAAAGAGTACATATTTTTGGTATTTATCGGGTCACATCAGCTCATTATTTATGCACAATCTTTTCATCATTTTCAGTTAGAGGTAAGGGCAGGGTAAGAGTAGGAGTACATTCCGTTAACATCAGAATTAATGACCGCACTACACCAGTGTGCTGGGCTGTGTTGCTTAAGTAATGAGAGAGATAGGTTAGTCTTTAGGGGAGTTATGATTTTGCCAGGAAGGACATCTAAAACGTTCTATTTTCAGTAACATTGACTTTTCATGCACTTTTGTCATGTATAATCGAGGTTTACATCTTTGGAATTTTCAATTTTTATTATGAATTGGAGTATATTTTTTACTTTCAGTACAGCTGTTTAATTAAAGACAAATATCTTGGCAACATTATTTGGGTCATAATTATGATCATTAATTTAATCAGTTATGTTTTTCCAAAATTGCGGGTTAGGTGTCATTTTGTTTAGTGTAGTATGGCTTTGATCCAGGTA